ATAGGGTTTTCCAAAGGTTTTTTTATCCCTTTTATTTTGGTTTTTTTTTTTTTTTTTTTTTTTTTGGCAAACTCAGTTTAGTTTTATTTCCACTTTTTTTTCCTGTTTCTGCTCAGTCCGTCTGAAGAAACGCCCCAACCAACCCCGCCCTGTAAAATGCCTCGCCAGCTACCTGATTATCGTCAGTTTATACTTTCTTTAATCTGATATAAACCAATTTGACTTTTTTATGAAATAAAGATTATTGAAACGCTTTTTGCTGTATTTGTTGTATTTCACTGCAATAAATTAAATGTTAAGTTCATAAAAGTACAAAGGTTTTACTGGCTATTTATAACCAGCTCTGATTGGTCTGATCAAGCCCCGCTCCTTCCACTTTGCTTAATCTGCTTTGCTACTTTACTAAAACTTTTATGTATAGGTGCATTTAAGAAATATTTTAAATAATATAAAGATTTACTAAAATATAAAACCTGATGTGTTTGAGTATAACATCAGGGTACATTAAAAATTGTGGTATTGATGACACTTTTCCAATTGATTATTCAAAAAATCTTGAGACTACTATTGGAAAGAAATGTACAAAGACTGGTTGATAAAGTTTATTTTTTTCGTACAAAAATACATTTTTCTTCAAGAAGTTTCATTCAATGTGCAAAGGACAGACGAGTCTGACATTCAAGTATTTGTTACAGTCCTGTTATTAACTTCGATCAGAGGTAGGCCTTCGTATTTAAAACACAGATCTGAGGTAGAGGGCAAAATTTCCCAGTAATAGTTTAGTGCTGTATTATAAATATCAAAGGGATCCACATGAGTTTAATATCACATTTTTAAATTCCATAAAAGTGCAAAAGGCAGTCTGATGCACATCTTGTGCTGTTAAAGTGACTGTGCAGCATTGCAGTAGTAAACTTTTCAACACTTTAGGTTAATATGTCTGAACAGTGTGCAGTGAAATCAAGTTACGACTAATCATAAAAATATTTGACAGGTTAAGAAAATCCCCACAATAAAAATGTCACATTTATAAACATCTGAGTTTCTGGTATGTCAGAAACAAAATTATAAACCTGCCTTTCTTAAATAAAAGATGTTTGCTAGCTAGAGGGAGCCATGTTGGATATTGAACATGTGCTGTCTCACAGATGTCCAACTTTGGAAAATATTTTAGTTGATCTTTCCAATTTACAGCCAGAAAATCTGACTTTTACATATAAATCAAATGTACAATTAATCTACCACTGAATCTAGTAGGCTAGTCAGCTTTAGTGCAACCAGTTTGATATATTGAAAACTAGCTAGCTTCTAGCTAGCCACATCAAAAATTTGTTAGTTTCAGCGTTGGCTATCGTCTAATCACATTGAAAAGTAGCTTCAGTGTAGCTAACTAGCTAGCTACATTGAAGTTTTGGTTAAGAATAGACTCCTCTTTTTAACCTTTTCACTTTCATTGCTTTCACATTAACACATTCATTTTGTTAGCACAATGTAATCTTTTAATCCATGCTTCCCAGTCGAATTATTTTCAGTAGGCAGAATACGGTTTGAGATTGAAGGTTCATATTTCCATCTGCAATAAAATCAACTTTTTTGGACACAGTGAATTGAGTAGCACTCTTTAGAATAGGAAGAGGCAGTTGAATACATTATGCTACATTTTTAGAAATATAAGGAAAGTTATATTGCAGTCTCTTTTGTGTACAGGCTTAGTTGGAAGAATTTAATTAATATTTTTAAATTATTTAGTGTAAATGTTAGAATCCTGATCCACACCCCTTACCTGTTGGTGGCAGTAATGCGCCATTAAGTTATAATCGGCAAATAAACGCCACAAGAAAAAGAAGGCCTGGTAACGACACTCCACACCAGTAGGTGGCGGTAATGCAAACTAGATACCAAATAGTAACGCACCAATCACTGAAATTAGGTGTCTTGGAGAAGCTGGATAGTAGCTGTTGAGAACTATAGTTGGACACTTTTCTGGTTTAGAGAAACAATTTAAGTTAACAGCCATGTTTTTGTTCAGTGAACATGAAGAAAACTCACTCAGGCACGAGGAAGACACAGAACCTTCTTCCTGCAAGGCATAACAGGCCAACCAACCCGTTTCTTTAGGTAACCAATTGATTTTCTCCTGTAATTGGTGGTTTTGTAGCTGGTGGATTGGTAGAATATCAATGTATCCAATTCTTTATCTAGTATGTTGAGAACTTCAGCTAATGGTTGTTGGGGAATAAAGCTAAACCAGTTGCACTGTCTGGTTCTGCAAGTGTTGCAGTTACTGATGTCCACCACTAGAGGCAGTAGTAATGGACAGCCTTCTTACTGCTGAAGGCAGCCACCAGTAAACTGACAGCAACTACTGCACTGAAGGTGACCAGCTTGTTTTTAGGAGGTACACTCGGTGGTGGTGGGTCAGGGGGTAGTTTGTACTATTGGTGGGGACCAAAATAGCCCCACGTCAGGTGCAGCTGCGCACACAGACTCAGGTTACGTCTCAGTCAAAACACTGAGGTTCAGAAACTCACCGAAGCTGGACAGAAAGCGCTCAAAAAGTCATTATTGTCCTGTAGTATGTTAAAAAAATAAATATGTATTTACAAAGTTTAGACTGTAAACATCAGATGGACTCCGGGTCTGTCCAGAGCCGCTTCGTTTCACACAGAAGAGGAGTGTTTCCCTCCATCTCTGAGCTGTGGAGATAAAGAAACAGTTTTTTAACCAACATTGTGTATTTAAATATGTTTATAGAGATGTTTGTTCCTGTACAAGCTAATGATTAGCACCTGTGTACAAGGCAAGCTAGATGAAATGCATAAATGTATCATTTTTATAGATGTTTTTCTATGGGTTTGGGTTTTATTTTGTCAGATATTTCGCACTGGTATTTATATACCAAAAATTGAAAGTTAGAATCTTAGAACTACAATAGATTCAAGAAAAGAATACATAAAAAACTATCAGCTGAGTAAAGAAGCAATCTAAAGGGATAAAAACCATCAAAGTTGGTAACATATTTTGAATTTCCACATTTAGTCACCATATTGGTGGTTATGAAAGTTTTCTCCAGCTGTTCCTCCCCCACCTGTTTCTGACCGCTGGTGACTTCTCTACATTTTTCTTATGTAATCATAGATTTATTAGATTGTACCATGTGAATCTTGTAGATTAATGTATTTAAATGTTTAATATTGAGTTGTTTTTCACTGTGGTTTTCATCCCAGCCTATGATTAATTCTTCTTCTTTCCTATGTAATTTGCAGTTTAATTATAAATTCCTGATTTTACTGGCCAGACCGGGACAGCTGGAGATGAACAGGAAGAAGCAACTCCTTTCCAAATTTTGGTGCAACAGGTATGGAATATAATGTACAGTGTGACCATTTAAATTATACTTAAATATTTTAATCATTTAATCTCTAACATGAATAAAATGTGTGAGTGCAAATCATGAATACAAGTTTTCAAAAATTAACTTTCACATTTAATTGTTTATTTAAAACATTATTGACGTAATTAAAAAACGTAAACATTGATCTCATTAACTCTATTAATTATCAGAAACCTGATGGGGGGGAAAAATGTTTATTATTTGATTTTTATATTGAGGTTTTATGGAAATTTCAGCCATTTTTTTCTTTTGTGGTCAATAAAACATAGCTTTTATGGTTGTAAAATAAAAGTAAATTAAAAAAATAAAGATAAAATGAGAAAGAAATTGGCACATTTAACATCCTCTGCACTTCAGTTAGCATTAGGAAGATATGATTCTTCTTATTATTATTTTATGTATCTATCTGTAGTGACATCACAAGTGTATACTTTGCTAGAGTAATTCAAGCTGTAAAAGAAATAAAATTGATAAATAAGATGAATTTTCCATTTTTCAGTGCAGGTACTGTTTTGAAATAATTTTAAATACGAACAAAATTAAACCAAACTTGTATTTCTACTGGAAAAAAAAAGATTTATTCTTTTTGGGGGTGGAATCAAATAAGTTTCCTTTTTTGGGGGGATTTTTTAAAAGTTTTGTTTGATTATTGGGGTTTGAGGTCAAAATGTAAACAACAAAAAATTTTTGGAGTCAAACAGATGAGTAGAAATTTAAATTTAGTTTTTCTTTTTATATTTAAAATGATAATAATTAAAACAAAATTATTCCGAAATAGACTCATAAGCTGTACCACACTTCAGACATATCGGATTTTTTTTCTTTTGTCCATAAAGGGTGAAAATGATGCAATAAACACTTTCAGGATTTTTTTTATTTTTGATAACTGTACCATATATGGGCAGTGAAAAGAAAATCAAACCAAATGGTAATGTAACATTTAAGTTTTGAAGCAAATTTTTAAAAGTAACTTGAGCTTTTAAAAAAATGTATTATCTTTCTTCCCGCTGAGCGTCATAGTCAGACCAGAGGTGCACTGATTGCAGTTTTTACCACTTTGTTAAAAAACCTGACCTGCCGATTCAGATTTTTGTCCTGTACTCATTTATTTATTTTTTTGTTGTTTTTTTTTTTTGTCTGAAACCTCTGACAGGCAGATTTGAGTAGTAACTAGCTACATTTACTCAGTTACATTCACTTGTGTAGCTTTTTTTTAATTTTACTTTTATGAGTATTTTTACTACATTGTAGTTTTTATTTTTACTTGAGTGATTTTTTATTATGAAGTATTTCTACTCTTTCTTGAGTAAATTTTCTAGATTTTCTACCCTCTGAATGAAAAACAAACATGTTTTAACCAAAAAATCCCCAAACAGCAACACACACCTACAGTTTTTGTTAAAGTTTCATACATTTATTTATTAAAAGAAACTGATTTGGAAAAATTTCTTCTGTCTGATTTTGTTATTTTTAGCTTCTTATAGGAATTAATATCATTTTTGTCCTTAAATAACAAAATTTACACTTAATTTTATATTTTGGTCCATCTGCTGATGTAATTTTTAAATATTGAATAATTTGATTAGTTAGTCAGTACTTGAATAGACTTTTTACCAAATACTTTTTTACTGAAGCAATTTCTTGGACGACTACCTTTTGCTTTTACTTGAGTAAAAATATGTTGAAGTAGTGATACTTTTAATTGGCCTCCTCTGCTCACAGGAGAGCAGAAGAGGGCAGAGGTTAATTTTTAGATCTTTGATGAAGTAGATTATCGGCCGAATCGGCGGGCCGATAAATCGGTGCACCTATCTCGGACCCTGCGGTCCAGAAAGCGCCCCACCTGTTTCCTTTGGTTGCTGAGGCAGAAGGTGCAGATGGGCCGCAGGGAGGGGCCGCTGAGCACCGCGGGGCCGTGCAGGATCATGTCTTGGTACCGGAGGCAGGGCTGCCCGTCCCGGCAGTCCTCCCCCAGCAGCAGCACGTTGGCCAGGTGGGAGATGTAGCTGGAGGCCAGGCGCAGCGTCTCTATCTTGGACAGCTTCCGGTCCGCGGGCTCGGTGGGGATGAGCGTCCGCAGCGCGGTGAAGGCCGTGTTCACGCTGTGCGTCCTGTCCCGCTCCCGCGCGTTTGCCGCCTGCCGCTGTTTGCTGACGCCGGACAGCCGCGCGTCTCTGCCGCCGCCCACGCCGCTCCTGCGCCGCCGTCGCCGCCTCGCCGTAACGGGGCAGCCGCCCTCCGCCTCCAGTCTCTCCCCGGACTCCCGGGGTGGGCTGCAGCCGCCCGTGGACTTCCCATCGGAGCTGTCCGTGTCGGTGTCTAACTCGGAGGCGCAGCCGTCTGTGAGGGACTTCATCCTGCCGCTGCTCTGCGCCGAATCCCGCCGAGCTGCGGCACTTTATCCGGTGGGTGAAAATAGCCCCGGGGGGGGGACGGGGCTCAGCAGCTGCCGCCGATCCGGTGACCGAACCGAGCGGACTGCATGCCATTTCTGCAGAATGACGGCTGCTTTCTGGGTCACGGCCAGCGCGCCGCGGAAAGGGGGAGACAGGTGGAGGAGGAGGGGAGGCACCTGTTGTGGTCTGGAGGATGGAGTCTAAATTAGACTCAACAGTTTTCATGCTGGTTCAACTTTTCCCACAACTAGAAACCTGCAAACTACTGGGATTTCATGATGTCAGGACAGTACGACGGCCTATCAGGGACATTTTAGACAGAAGAAATGAAAATGGAGGAGCACATTTCTGCCAAAAAAGCACAGAAATGTTTAGATTAATCTCAGAAATGTTTAGAGTATTTTTGTGTAATGTCCGAGCTTGAAAAGTTTAAAATTTGCAAGAAAAAAATCTGGAATTTTGTAGAAAAAAAACATGAAAATTTATGAATTTAGGGAGAAAATTTTTCCACTTTTGAAAATTTTCGTCTTTTGACACTTAGAATTTTTGCGAAAAAAAACATAAAAATGTTCGAGTTTCAGAAGTCAGATATTTGCAATTTTTGAAACAAAAACTAATTTCACTTTTTTTTTCTTGCAAATTCTCAACTCTTGAAACTCAGAAATTATGTAAAACATTTTTAAAAATTAGGAAATTTCTGACTTTCAAAAGTAAAAAAAAAATTGTGATTTTTGAAACTCAAAAATTTCCAACAATTTTGAGATTAATCTCAAAATCTGAGGGGTTTTCCTCTTGCAAATTTTTTACTCCAAAAATTCAAATCTTTTCCCTTATATTTCAGAGATTAATCAAATTTTTTAAAAAATTTTTTTGGCATAAACTTGCTACTTTTTTCTATTTGCAATGGCCCTAATACTCCATTGTGGAAGTGTGGCATGCATCTACTCTGTTACCCCAAAATAAAACCAGTTTCAGCCTTAGAAGTCTCCCAGTTAGAGTATGAAGTCCACTTCTTTATAAAAAAAAAAACCCATAAGAAGCCATGCTTGCCACAATTACATTAAAGTAGCCTTAGAATGAACTAGTCAAAGGCCAGACATAAATCTGTGTCAAAAACTGATGTCTCCATACACAATTTGACTGAACTTCAACTATTTAGCAGAAAAAGCTTCGTCTATTCATTTGGTCTGAATGCAAAGGCACACCACACTTTTCAGATTTTTGATTTTAAAAAATTAAAAATGGGTAATTTCTCTTCCACTTTACAATCATGCTTTCATTATTTTTGTTTTGTCCTATGAAATCCCAGTTACGTTAAATTTTTGGATGCAATGTGACAAAAATATTAAATGTATTGTGAAGAAAACTTGGAGTAAAGTTAATTGTTTTCCTGAATGTGATTGATCTGTTTGGCACGGTGGTGGCAGCATCATGATAGGTGACCTTGACATGATCAAATTAAAAAATACTTGTTTTTTTATCCCCAAATGGAAATGAAATGTCAAAAAATACCAGGTGAGAATCTTTGTTGATGTGAGAAGGATCTCCAGTAGCAGTCAGTCTTCCAACAAATCTCAAGAAGCCTCTGACTGAAGATCATCGCTTTGACTCACAGCTGTCATGAGATGCTAACAGGTCCATAGTAACACCATCAGCTCTGCTAATCCACTTCTTTTGCTTTTGCTGCTCCTCTTTAAATCTTTCTAGAAAGTCGAGCAGAAAGACGTTGGAGTACGGGATTAAGATGCACACTACAGTAGAGATGGTTTGAACTTACTCCTCTGGGGTTTGGGGTCAAAGGTCAGGAGTTATTGGATGCTATGTTTGCGATGCTAATCAGTTGTGATCAGTTTTATAAACAGTTTATAATTGCCGGTTAGAGTTTAACATTTGTTTTTGTTTTTTCACCATTTAACTACCCAACCCTCAGCATGATGCTTTCATCGCCATGCTTCACAGTTGCTGCAGTGCACAGACGTCTTGTTTTGTGATAAACAGAACCTTTTTGCAGTCCAGTTGTTTTAAATTTCTCTCCAGCTGTTTGATCAGTGCATCCTTCAATCAGACAGCAGGAACTCAGTCCAGATCCTCCCGCTCAGCGTGTTTGTGTTTGTTTGTCGGGATCTAAGGGGCTGCAGGCGAACTTTGGCCGGCTGCTCTGAGCTCCTGCTGAGTGAACAGTCCAGGTGGGACCCGGCCGGACCTCCGCCGTCCGCTCCAGAACCATCTTTGGGGACAGATATAAATATCTGCCTCATGTGGGCTGCTGCTGCTGCTGGAGCTCCCACTGACACTCAAGTTGTCGATTTCCAGCAAATATTGCTTTATTGCCTTTATTTAAACAGAATCCAATGATAAAAAGTAACATTGTGTTGCAGTGAAGTGTCATCCATGTTTTGTTTTTTTGTGTGTTTTTAGTGATAATTTATCACATCATGTAATATTTTTGTTGTTTTCTATTGTCGCCAATAGAGGGTGGTAAATCCCCAGTAATAATTTTACCTCAAAACCACAAAAACTTCCCCATATCTCTAAATAAAGTTTTTATGACAAGGTATTGAGGCCAGATTGGGATTTTTCTTTTAATTTCGAGAATAGTCATAATATTTACAGAATAAAGACACAATATTACCAGACGAAACTGTAAAAAGATTTTAGGAGAGTAAAACTTGGATAGAATGATAAAAAACTGATGATTTGAATGTGATGTATTAAAGTCATTATTTGTAAAACCAAATGTGATACTTCAAAATACAATTAAATATACTACTTATCACCCTACTACTGATTTTACTGAAACACCCTATTTTCATGATGTATCTTTATTATGTCTTGAATTTTTGTGTTTTCCAAATATTCCTAACTTCAGACCCACAATGCATCAGTTTTAGACTTTAAACCCCATTTGGAGCCACTGAACCACCTCTGTAATAATTAAACCATGAAAAAACAGACTTTTATTGTGAAAAGTATCTCAGTTTATCCTTAGCTTCCATTCATCAAGAATGTTTTGGATTAGAGCTACAAATTAAGGCTTTTATTTTAAAGAAAATTTGTGAGCTTTATTTTGAAAGGTTAGCCTAATCCACAATCCTCTTTTGCTTTAGTTCAAATAATCTAGAATAATCTACTCCTTGAAATATGGAGCATTTTTAAGCATATTATTGAATATTTGAACTGATTTGAAAAATTCAAATGAGTAGAAGCTCCAGGAAATAGACCAATCCCATCAGAAAAACCTATAAAATACTTTTTATTCTCCTACAAAACTTCCAGTAAACAAAGATTCGATGGGAAGCAGCAGATTACAAAGTGATTAAGATATATACATCGAGGATATGTGACAATATAAAACATTCAAATAAATAAATACTGATAGAGAAAGTCAGATTATAGACGAGGAACCTGAACATGGCGGGTTTCTACAGTAGTCAGAGAATTTGGATCAATAATCCGCTGATCTTCAGCCGCGAGCGACTGGGAGCTGAAACACAAAAATATACTTTAAAGTAAAATATATGAATGCAAAAAAATCAATAATCTCACCAGCAGAGAAGAAAATATTAGAACATGTCGAAAATCATTCAAGAAATACAAACAACTCAGTAAAATTTACTATTTTCATACCTAATTTTGATTCATTTAATTATTAGGCTGTATTTTTGTTAGAAATATCAATTTTTTTCACTTTAATCAGTTTTACTCATCATTAATTTTAATTTTTGTTTATTTTTTAAAGCGTTTCCCAGCATGCTTTGCTCCTTACCCTCTGTGAACACCGAGCTCCGGTGAACCCGGCTCTGCAGGCGCAGACGTTAGGCCGAACGCAGCGGCTGCCGAACAAACATGGTGTCTCGCAGCGAGCTGAGGGTGAAAACGGGTTGAGACTCAGTCAGAACTGGAGAAACGCCGACGTTCCCCACATGCAGCAGCAGCAGGTCTTACTCACGGATCTGACAGAGAAATCCCTGCCAGCCCGGCGGACAGTGGCAGGTGTTTGGACCAATACATTCCCCTCCGTTCAGACACGTCTGCAGGCAGCTGGCTGCCAGGAGAATTCATCATCAGTTCAGCATCAAACGCTTTCATTGGAGTGGCAGAATTTGTATTATTCTTAAATTTCAATCAGGGGGCCGAAAAATTAATTCCAGTAGCCACAAATGGCCCCTGCACCACAGTTTGGACACCGATGAGAACATAGCGTGTTCATCCATTCAATTCAAACATTTAACTAACCTATCAGAAGCTCACAAAGCCATGACATCATCACTTTCTAATGCTGAATTAGAAACGGGTAATTTAATGGGATTCTAGTCGCATTTCCAGAGATTCCATCTGCGTTTTCTTACGTTTGTCGCATCTCTTCCCTCGCCAGCCGGACGGACAGTCGCACACGTCTGGGCCGACGCACCTGCCGCCGTTCATGCACATGGGGTCACACACACCTGGCGGATAGGAGACAAGTAACCGAATGTGGAAATCATGTTTTCAGATAATTTAAAGAGAAATTTGAGAGAAAAGACGGACTTTTCTCGCAGCGCTCCCCAGAGAATCCCTGCAGGCAGGAGCAGAGGTTGTTCCTCCTGCACACACCGCCGCTTTTACAGGGTGGACTGCAGACAGCTGAGAGAGAGAGAGAGAGAGAGAGAGAGAGAGAGAGAGAGAGAGAGAGATGGTCATAGATTAAGATTAAACTATAAAACATCCAGCTGAGGGTGCAGAACGGGATTAGGTTTATAGATTTATAGTTAGGTTCATATTTACCGTTCTGACACTGCGCTCCGTAGAAACCGCGGGGACACTCGCAGGCGTTCGGCCGAAAACAAGTTCCTCCGTTCAGACAGACGGGTGAACATAGAGCTAGAGAAAACAGACAGGTTACCTGCTGGCTGGTTCCCACCCTAAGACATCAGGGACTCACCTATCTCACAGGACGGTCCGGTCCACTCTGGAGGACACTTACACTCGTCTGGGGACACACACTGGCCTCTGTTGTGGCAGTGACGGCTGCAGACCACTGCGGTAAAAACATCATCAGACAAGATTCAGGTCTGAGTTTTGGATTAGGGGAAGCAAATAATGGCTTATTAGTTCTAATCAATTAATAATTTCTGCTTAGTCCTTCTTTTAGTGTTGTAGTCTGGCCTCCATCCACCAAAGGGCGCCTCTGGTCATCCTTAAGTGGAGCCAATTGATACAGAAATAAAGATGGCGGGGCCATACCAGAACGGAAAAAATAAACGGTCCAAACTGAGTCCAGTTTTAGATGCAAAATGCCCTTTATGCATTTCTGTTTTGACATATAAACACACTGTAAGCTCTTTAAGTTTTACATGGCGCTCATTCAGCCGAGCTGCAACGTCAACTTCTCATCGAGGATGTGATGACAGAGAAGCAGAGGGTATAACATAGTTTCTTATACTCTAAATCAAGGATTAGACAATGGGATAAATAATTTTTTCTATAAATACAAATATTTTCCATATTCTTACTTTCTTTTTTCCTCGTTTATCCAGATTGTCCAGGAGCCCTGAATACTGGATTGGAAAACGTCTGCAGCCTTTTGAGGTAAGGATCTACATTCTCACAAAGAGACTGTTGTTTTTGTTTTGCTAGCTGTGCTAACTACTAATGAGATGCTAAAATGTGAACTCCAAATCATTTCGTTGGTTCTAAAATGGTGAAAATGTGTTTTTTAACCCAGTTTTGTTTTTGTATGAACGTAATCAAAGTTTTATAAGAAAAACTAAATGGGAAAACTGTGATTTTCCCATTTAAACAATTCAGACGAGACATTTATTACAAATGAAATAAAACAAAAGCTGAACATTTTGAGGTAGAGAAGTTGATAAATTCTGAAGAGTAAAAAAGATCTTTAACTTGATATTAACTCAGAGAAACAAACTGGATGACATTAAATCTTAATAGTTACCAAACCACTAATAAAAATCTTTGTAGAAACTTTATGAACTCACTGGTTTCACATCGGGGACCAACAAACCCATATGGACAGGAACAGGTCTGCAGTCCCACACAGCTGCCTCCATTTTCACATGGAAACCTGCACAGAGCTGCACAGACAGGAAGCTCTCACATGTTTAATAATAATTAAAGCAGCTAGCATCATTTTTATAGATGCATTGATGGATTACGTTCACCTTCTTCACAAATCTCTCCATGGAAACCTCCAGGACACTGACACACACCTGGAGCAATGCAAACCCCGCCGTTCACACACTCCGGATCACATATTACTGAAGAAAAACATTTTAAAAATTCAATAATTAAAACAAAATTTAGATCTGGGTAAAAATAAAATGGTTCTTCCACAGTTTTCACCTACCTGTCTGGCAGTTTGAGCCAATATAGCCTGGTTTGCAGCGGCATGTGTTGGGTGCAGCACACTCCATGTTTCTGCCACACATGTGCCTGCATACAGCTTAAAAACCAACAGGGGGCGCCACTGAGAAGGTAATCATGACTTTTGACTCTACATTCAACTGCACTAAGCTGTAAGGAGAACTTTAGGTCAGTCATTTATTCCAGAACAATATGATGAAAATTGAAACTTGTTTTAATTTTCATCATATTTTCATCATATCAATAGGTTTTCATAAAATTGAAACTTGGGTTCATCAAAGTTCACACTTTCAAAGTTCACACTTTGATGAACCCCAACCACATTTGAAAAAGAACATTTGCTCTCTTGGGTTTAGCCCTACCCCGACATGCGTGTCCATCTCCTATGTATCCTGCAGGACACCTCCCACAGCGGAAACCCCCACCCACTGCCGGCTCACACTGGACCCCAGGAAAGCAAGGCGTACTGGAGCAGGCCGTCACATGACTGTTAGCTGTTGTGTCGCTCCTTATTTTGAGATGATTGGACGTAGGTTTATGTGGTGTGAAGCTGGAGACCGCCTGGACAAAAGGTGTAGGAGTTGGTGCTGTGGGTGCTTGTGGACCCTCGGGCAGAGGATCAAGTTCGTCTCCGTCTGCGGAGAACTCTGATTCAGACAGAGTGTAGGACAGAGCTGTGAGGGCGGCGGTGAGAGGGAGCGCAGGCTTTGGAGGCGTCCAGGACTTGAGCTGTGGTTGAACTCCCTGTGGTGGCGTCACTTTAAGGGCTGTAGCTCGTTCAGACTTCTGGGTCGTCTAAGGACAATGTTGTTAATGCTCAGACACATCAGCTAATCTTTACAAAACATTTCAACTCACCTTGGGACCCGACTCTCTAAAGGTTGTAGTTCTTGACCTGGTGAATGTCCTGGTGACAGTTCTGGAGATGGCAATCTCATGAGTGGAGTGGGGAGTGAATAAAGCGTTGGATGATGTCCTTGGAGCGTTTCTGGAGGAAGAGGAGACTGCTTCCCTCCTCCCTGTTCCACCGCCTCTCTGTGATGATGAATCCTGATGTGGTGGATTGTCTTGTGTGGCCACTGATAAAGGTGGACGCCTGATAGATTGCCTGGATGGGAAGCTTGGCAGGTGGAGGTGAAGTTGGGAAGGTTTGGCTTTGCTTACATGCAAATATTGGCTGGATTTACCAAACATCTGCTGCTGAGGGAGGACATTGGATGCTGAGGAAAGACAGGAAGTCAAATCAATGCCTTTCTGCAAATATTCTCGCCGGATTTCTTCCTCTCTCCTTGTGCTTTTGAAGTTCAAGTACCAGAAATGCAATCAGACTTGCTTTGTTCATAATTGTTAAAGATTTGCATCAAACAGTTGAGGGATCAGGCCTTTTATCTATTCTGCCATAAAACTGAGAATGTTTCCAAAACAGGGCTCGTGCTTAATCAGTGCTGCCACAAATACAATAAAAACAAAACCATTCAGGCGATTTATGCCTTTTTAGAGGTTTGAGGTATCTGCAAAAACACCCAAAGTTGCTTTGAGACTTTCCAGATAAACAAGATCTGCAGTAAAGGGATTAAAGCTGGAATCAGACTGTCTGCTCAGAGTTCCCTGGTCTCCCTAAAGAGCAACAGCATTAAGCAATCTGCTGTTGAAACTTTGTGGCCGGGTGGTTAGTACATTAAGGCAGTCTCTAACCACTCACACTGATTTATGTGCTGCAATAAATGACATTTTTAAATGAAAGAAAACAGAGAACATTAGGAAAAACAGACAATACAAAAGACCTCAAAAGCAGCACATAACTTCTGAATGGATTCAGATTCCTAAATAATTTCAAACATGCACAGAACAGTCAAAGGGGTAAATTGTAAATTTATTATTAAAAATTCCCAAAATTTACAGATTAGTTTGGGAACTTGAGGTAAATAAATCCCTTACCTTCCTTGGGGGTCTTCATACAGATGCGACCATTGCCGTGAAGTCCAGGGGGGCAGCGACCACAGACGTAACCAACATGTGGAGGCCTGCGGTTGATGCATTGGACTCCAGGGAAGCACGGCCTGCTGGCACATGTTGCTGAGATGGGGACAGCCCGAACCGGACCTGTGGTCAGGAGAAAGACTGCCTTATCATCTGATCAGGTCCTTCAGCAACATTTAGAGATAACCGTTTTCTCTGGACAACATCTGAATCATATGGTGCTTAATTCAGTGCTTGATGACGTACACTCATTCACCACTTCATTAGGTACCTGTTACTAGACCATTTTCTTGCCTGAAGGCACAGGTGTCAAACTCCAGTCCTCTGCTGTCCTGCAGTTTTTAGATGTGCCACAGGTACAAAACACTGGAATGAAATGGCTTAATTCCCTCCTCCTTGTGCAGATCAGTTCTCCAGAGCCTTGCTAATGAACTAATTATTCTATTCAGGTGGTGCAGCAGAGGCTCATCTAAAAGTTGCAGGTCAGCGGCCCTTGAGGACTGGAGTTTGACACTTGTGCCTTAAGGGTTTCATGAATATATTGTTCCTCCATCGTGTAAACTGTGAAATATTAAAGAGCTTCTTGATATGTGAACAGCTTTTATTCTTCTATTTACCTGATTCTGATGTTTTATTGGAAGTATTCCCGACTTCATTCTTTACTGTTGTCTGGTCCAGTGTCTCTTTCATGGCTGTACTCTCTGAGTTGTCCTCAAAAGTGTTGCTGATGGGCTTGGATGAAACCAAAGGACCTCTTTGAGGTTTTCTTGACTGACCACCTATGTGTTGGGAAGCATCTGCTGCCACACTCTTGTTGGTTTCCGCCGTCCTGACCTTTAAGTTGGGGGTAATTCCTGGGATATTCCTCAAAGAGGTGGACTCTGCTTTGGTCCCAGTTCCTGGTGTCTCTTTGCCCACCTCTGACTTCAAAGAGGTGGAAGCTCTGTGGAAAGGGTCTGTCTTTGTTGGAACTCGCAGCAGAACATCTGGTATCTTGTAAACAGTTGTAAGAGGAAAAGGTGTTGGGATGATGGCATCCGGCCTAAAGACTGCTGCTTTGGGGGGAAAACAAGAAATTCATCTTGATAACTTCAAAAGACGTTTTTTATGTAATGCTTGCTGTAGACTGTTTGCAGTAATGGTGCAATAAGATGATTTGAGACACAAGAAAGTTTTTAACAGGTCAGATCTTTAGAGAGAGAGAGAAGTTTGTTTAAAAGTCTCAACATTGGTCGTTCATTGTGACTTATCGACACATCTAGAGCCGCGAGCGAATTTGATTTATGACGACAGGTTTTAGACAAGGCAGCAAGTCAAACTCATAAATCTAATTTATTCTGCCTTAGCACTGCCAAATCTTCTGGCCGCTAACTGAGTCCATTTTCAGCATGTGTCAGAATGTTTCTTTATGTTAAACTAATTGGTAATATCCTGGAAAAACTAACTTTTTTATTACCCCATTTTTACAAGAAGTTGCTTGGGAATTTGCAGTCTTACTTTGCTTTTTTTGGGGTAGTTCTGATTTTCAAAGTCAAGACATGCATACAATCAGGCAATATTCAAGCTCATCTGATGCCTAAAGTTGCAAATCTTTGGCATTAAAGGGAGCAAGAAAGTCAAACCAAAGTGTCCAAGTCATAATTTACCTTTTGTGGTTTGTTTTTGGGCAGTTTTTCTACTAAAAAACATAAGTAGTGAAGGATTGTTTCGGTTGCATGCCTGCAGAAGCTGAAATATTCATTCTATCCAAACCAACTTGTTCATTTGGGAAAAAGTAATCGCCCCCTAAACCTAATGATTGGTTTTGCTTGGTAACACCTGCTGTGCATTATCCAAAATGTGCATTAAATCTGTGTTTTGGATTTTTGGTTCTGATTATAGAGTTGTTGTTTTTTTGGAGATTTAAAATGCAAAGCGGAAAAAAATAAATGAGAACACTCTACATGTGACGACAGAGAGACTAAGCTTAGCTGGACGCAAGTGAGCAGAGCATCTGCATCGGCTACAATCAGACATCTGCTTTCCATTCACTACAAGCACTGTATCCCTGCTGAGGGCTCTTCAGAGACTCTGCTGCGCTCCATTTATGTACCTGAAGTTTCCTCTCAAAAGACCAGACTCCAGGTTTTCCCCTCAATGCAAATAAATTCAGGAAAAGAGAAGCATAAACCAACATCACAGTCTAGATGATCAAATACAATTAATTTAGTAAAGAAGTTGGTGCACTGAGATAGTTTTATGTGGTTCCACAACCTCTGAACAGCTTTATTGGATAAGCTCAACGCTGCTGTGTGCATAAAGGGAGGACTCAGTGTTTATCGTTCTGCACAGATTCTGTTTCAAAATTTGATTTCAGGAGACATAAAACCATGGCAGGTAGCAGTTTCTTCTGCTCCTAACCTGGTCTAGAGAAACAGAAACACTGCAGGTCAGTTAAAGTTCAAGAAAACTTTGAGGTAAATCAACATTACGTGAAGGCAAGAAGGAAGATGGAGGAAACTCTGAAGTGGTCTACTTTACACCTCATCAAAAGAAAGGAAGTGATTTTTATTTGCTTTCTTACAAAGAATTTTTATCAGCTTAATCTATCCTAATCTGGATTAGGATAGATTGAATTGATTATATATTTGTCTTGTGTAGAACCTTGGAATGGCATTTGTTGTGTATTTGTACCACTAACATGAACCAAAGGGTATTGTGACTAGCTTTGCAACTATGTGGAGATTTATCATTGTTTGTGCCAAATGTTTAACCCTTATGTATGCTGACATGTTGGGCCTTTGTAGTTCCTGACAAAAAGTAACTGACCACCCCCTGTTTCACCCTGTTTGAAGTGTCCGCTTACCTGTACAAGTCGTTCCATTTCCCAGCATGCCTTTGGGGCATGGACCACAGCTAAAGGAGCCGATGCTGTTAATGCACTGGACTCCAGGAAAACATGGATTCCTCTCACATTCATTGATGTCCTCCAGGCATGTTAAACCTGTGAAAGGCAACATGATGAAGCGACTGCAGAGACGTCCCTGGATCATGTCTTGAGTCTGTTCTTACCTCTCAGTCCAGCAGGACATTCACATCTGTAGCCGCTGGCGGTGCTGATGCACCTGCCAGCTGAACATGGAGACGACAAACACTGATCCACGTCTTCACCACAGAGTTCGCCCTGTTTACCCCCAGGACAAACACAAAGGTACTTCCCACTGCCGGCGGGAAAACTGACATCCATCATGCAGGTCCCTCCGTTCAGGCAACCGCATGGCACCACATCAACCTGAGTGACGCACAAAATGAGTTGACGAAGCCTTGACTGTATTAATACAGCTGCTTCCTTCAACTTTACCTGCACCGTGAAGGTGCTCTGGGCGTTGCACTCATCAGAGAGCATGAAACTGAAGGACTGCTGAACCTCCTCCTTCAGGAGAACCAAGGGGACCCTCCAGATGAGGAGGCCAGCAGGAGACAGCGCAGCCCCGTCTGGTCCGTCCTCCAGCTGAAACAGGATCGCCGAGCCCTCTGGGTCAGACGCCGCAAACTGGAAGACGAAATTCTCTCCGGCAAATGTCCGCAGGCTGCTCTGAGGTCGGTGGAAAGATGGAGGCCTGTTTACTGGAAAACAGACGGAGACCTGACCATTATCCAGTTGTATATCAAAGCAACACCTCTGGTTATCCCCACCTTCTCATTTACTGTTCTCCAACTAGAAAGATTTGATGACAGAAGCTTCCTGTGCTTAGTGAGGCTCTTTACGACCAGGTCCTTCCTGGATGAATCATCGTAAACATGCATGTTCAGACTTGCAAATATTATTCCAACTACATGTGCAGGATGTCCTAGGAATGTCCTATTTATGTGAATGCTGTCCCCATCTTTGGTGTACCACTCCAACAGGTAATTGTTTCGTTCCAATTGAAAGTGATTTCTCGTGACTTAAAGGTTTACTGTTATTCAATGGAAATCAGACAAACCGGCTTCTTTTAACAACTGTTTTAGATGCGTTTAATGTTAGTTGGGAAAATTGAGATACAAGAGATTGAATTGGCATAAAAATTTTACAAGGACCTGGTCGCCCTTTATAGAATATGTCAAACATTGTCATTTGGTACCAACAGAATGAAGAAACTGAACCCAACGAAGACAACAATCACTCTGAAGGACTGCAGTTTGGTGTTGATCTCATGCTAAGCTCTGTGAAAAGGCCAATTGTTGTACTGTATTTGATTTGTTGGGACCTTAATGAGTCATGTTGAAGTACTTTATTCCTGTTGCTTTCCATTTTGATCCGGTTCTGAGGCTAATTACTGGTCTTACTCTTGATTTAGTTGGACATTTACTGCAGGGTAGCCTCACTACTTCAAGATGATAGTCCCTCTGTGCTGCTCTGTGGATAAAACATGTGATTTACCCCCACTCCTCACCCAGGAGTGGTTAAACGACGGGTCAGAACATGCTGGGGAGACTCCTTTGATCTGCTAATGGAGACAAACAGGATCCCAGCTGGACTCCTGCCGTGGCAGCAGCCAGAAGGAATCCTACTAATTCACTCACTTCGATGCAGTTTTCCCTACTTCCTCACCTTGCATCAGCTGCAAGGAAATGTTTATACCTTGGTTTACAGACCAGGTGAATTTGGAGGTGTCGGGATAACACACGAGGCAGGGGCTGCTGGGGTTGACACTTCCGGCTGCAAAACACATCCCGTCTATGTTACACGTCTTCTCCTAGGACCATGAAACACAAGGAAACAGAAACAGTTTTAATGGGATTCCGCATTAGTTGTAGGAAATGGACTCTATTTACACTTCATGAGCTGTTTAATTAATCCCAGCCTCTTCGAACAGCTGCAAATCTTTTTGATGCATGTCTGCGGCTGTTTGTGTTTTAACTCATTGCAATCCAGTAAAACGGTGTTTCCAGTAACAGAGAGACACTGCAGCCCATTTAAACAAGCCGGCTATTGAACAACTGTCTCTGCTTTCAATCAGACCCATGCTATCAGAAGGCGTGAACAAACTCTACCACTTAACACCTTCTGATTCGCATAAAACTCCTTGTTCTGAAATCCTCCCAAACATCATAGCAGCAGCAACAACTTCTCAGTTAAAGACCTGTTGACGGCAACAGTTAGTCTTTGCACAGTTACTGTAACTGAAGTTGGAAATAAGATACTGCTGCAGACAACTGGAAACTCAGATTAAAGGCAGTTGTAGCATTTTCACTGTGTATAATTGATTTTAATGAAAAAAACAATTGCCAATCCCTAACGGAGGAATTCCAGTTGATTTTCCATCTGGGAGCAATTTTAACCTCCATTTTATCTACAGCGCTGATAGTGTTTTCCCCTTGTAGTTTTGTTTTTTTCTTTTCTGCCACAGTTACTGACAGAAAAGAATGTGTTTTGGATCTGGTCCATTGACTGTACACCCTGGACAGGTCACTGTTCAGGTCACTGGTCCATCACAGAAACAAAAACAAGGACAATTTAGAGACAAATTAACCAAACATGCAGAAAGACCCCAGGTTGGAATTTGAATTCAAGACTACCTGGGTGCAAGGCAACTGCATAACTGTACATTTCATGTTTCAAATCATCAAACTAAATCACTCTGGGTAGGGACACACCAATTAATTCATTAATTTTGGTAGTTTTGGAATCTGTAAATCGGAATCTGCTTTTTAAAGATCTCTGATCATCCAGAAAACTGCAATCAGTGTGTCCCTAATAATGGGACAAAGATAACTTCAGTAAATTCAACATTCAGCTGTTAAATGGATTGTGTTAGAAGTGAAAAACCCTCCACAGCAGCAGGGTTGTTTATGGAAAAAATACTCACACCCCCTATTAAATCATGAGTTAGCCTGGATTCACCAAATTTTTTGGAGTTCTAAGGTCAGTTCCATCAGCACCACACCCTGGACTGATCACTGAATAAATAACCTCTGGAATACAGAAGTCACATAGAAATAGTATTTCTTCAGACAAATTTCAAAATGATCAGTCCCTTTCAGATGATCCTTTCATCGTGTGAGCTTCCATGACCAGTCCATCACGAGTAGTGATCAACTGAAAGGTCTTGACTTGGGTTGCTGATTGAAAGTATTACCAATATTACAATCCTGATGCACCTTTGGTTACCAACGCCTATACCACTATGAACTGTAGGTGAAAAACATTGCTCCTTTTGGTAAATAAGTTACCTTTAACTTACAGAGTCCTGAGTGCGATGCCTCACAGACCTGGCAAACACCGTCATAAATCGTCAGCATCTTTGCCTGGCTGAACTGGAACCCATCATTGGTCACCTGAAATCCAAAAAAGGCCAATATAAATATATATTTTTTGAAAGAAGGAAAACAAAAAAAGCTACAGGTAAATGTAATGCCTTAATGTCCCATCGTGCATATGGCTTGTCGTCCATCATGAAGTCCTCTGTACTGATAGCTGCACTGCTCAGTGTTGGAACAGCACAGTCTAAAGCCTTGGAGCTGAGAAAAGTTGCCTTTGTCTTCTGCTGCTCCTCTGGAATCCAACCGTTGTTCATGAACTGCAGAGGAAGCTCAGAAAGGTGAGCAACAATGCTCCTGTGTTGATGGCTGTTGGCTCGACATGCAACATTGCTCTGGCTTACCTTTAGTCTTGTGGTGAGGCAGCTGAGCTCAGCAGAGTCGATGAAGCCGAGGCCAAACACTCGAACACTGCGACAGTCAAAGGTTCGGATGTCACATAGTCCACTGTTTTCCAAATCGGTTATCTCAATAGGCTGGCCTACCGGAAGACATGAGATATTTCCTAAAATCAGCACTTTTCATGGTTTTTTCATCATTGACCTAATTCACACACGCTAGAAAACTTGCAAGGACAATCCACCGAGACTTACTGATGGAAAGGCTGCAGTCATGGTTGCTGTAACTTGGATAACATCGGCATCCCCACTCGGTGCATGCTCCATTTCCATTGCATAAGTTTGGGCAGCGCAATGCCATCACCACTTCCCCTGAAACACCTGATGAGGTATGAACCTCCATGGCTCGCTGGGTGCGGTTGTCCAGCAGCTGCTTCTCACACTCATTTTCCAGAAATGGCAGTAGAGCTTCATCCCAACCCAGGTCATCCTTTAGCTGCAGGTCCATCATACAGAGAGTCACTGCTTCATCAAGATGGCGTCCCAGCAGACCTCCACACATGACGCCAACGGTGGAGTTGACCAAGGCCATCTGGCAAACCTCCAGGGCTTTGGCTGAGGTCAGTCCATTTGGTGTGGGCCACTGGGGTTGAACCTTTGGTCTAGCTTCTGCCAGGTGATCTTCAGGAAAAAAGTAGGCAAAACTTTCCAAATCTGTTTGGCTCAGGCTCTGAGCAGCAAAGAGGGGCTGAAATTCAAAGGAAGTGTGTCTCTTTGGCCTGTGTAGTGAAAGCAACAGATCTTCTCTCAACTCGACATCCAGTTCAAAATCATCTCCATGTTGACTTCTCTGTCCATTAATCCACAAGTGCCTTCCCTCCAGAGGATGACTACTCAAAGCAGACACTTCCAGGATGCGTTCCTCTCTTTTGGGACTCCTGATGTATTCTGCTGTTGTATCCATGGAAGGAAAAACAGATGTGTAATCCACATTGTCGTATGCAGAGCAGTCAGAGTGAGATAAAGGACTGTGCACCATCCCTCTGCTATATTGTTGAGATGGGGTAAACTCTCTGTGGCATTGACAGAAGGGACGTCTGGCCTTTTGCACGATCAGAGGCGGTGTATTGTCAAATAAACTCTCACCAGGAGCTATCCTAACACAAAACAGTGAAAACCATTATATCAAATAACTTTAGAGACACATCAGAGTCAAGAAAAAAGATTGTAAGCTTAAATTGCTGACCTCCAGTCCTCAATGAAGCGTTCCAAATCATCAGGACCATAAAAACCACCATTGGAACCATGAAAGTCATTGTTGCTGTTGTGGTCAAAGGTTCCACACAATCCTTGAGTGTTGCTGAAGTCGACACTTGGAGCTTGGACAGACAAGCTCATCCCCCAGTCGCTTACATCTGCCCTGACAAATGCCCCAGAGGGAAACATCAACTATGACAGAAGAGTCATAGGCAACACAAAGTTAATATAGATTGAACTAAAGAAAACATCCATCATGCAAGCACAAAAGAAGCAAAAGCACAGTGGTAAAATGTCCAGATACCTACGGTGACCTTCTTTCCCTGATGGGACTCCAGGATCCTGACCCGACTCCCCTCCTCACCAATGTTCTTTACAATAAGCTGAGGTCGGGTCTCTTGAAGCTGGCCATTGCACATGTCAATGATTGCTATGTCATTCCCCTCTTGCACAGCAACGCCACAATTGCAGGCAACCGAGTAGTGTCTGCTGCCACAGTCCCACTGGCGAGAATGGACCTCAAACCTCCTGGCAAGACTTCGGTATAGAAGGAAGGTGCCAGTCTGGTGGTTCTCATAACGCCTGGAGGTAGCAGATTTTAGACAGGGACATACATTTAATAGGGTTGATCTGTTTCTAGAACCTCTTTTGAGGTATTAATTACCTGCGATCAAGTGTGATGACATGTGGATCAGTCAAAGAGTAACACATCGAGGTGGGAATGTCTTGAACCATGACCTGGAGGAAAGCAGACGAAGGCAGACACACGTCTAATCCTCAAGGTTTGATTTCAGTAAATTTATTGTCAATCCTTCAATGATGGTTTCAGACTAAAATAAAGTTTTCTTATCCTTCTTATAACATGAAAACCTCCACTCTCTTCTTTTGAAACCATTAATGAATGGCTATTTGGAAAACTGACACCAGTATGAAGATGTGGTTGCGCTATTGGAGAACTTTCCTTAAACATGCATCAATGTCCTTAAAATTTTATAAAATCGCCACACTGTCACTATCTCCTTTGAGCCATTTAATCCTTGCAGCGTGGGAGGCCACAAACTCAACAACCATGCCTGCAATTTATTGGAGTCAATGGAAATATTGAGGTGACAGTTAGGTTAATGTGCACATTTTTGAATAGCATGAAGAAGCAGAGTAGCTGACAAGGATACATTGAGAGAACAAATGAACTCTGAACTAAAGGGACCCCAGCAGGACATTGTCATTGGAAACATGAGTTCACCTTCAGAGATGTTGGGGTATAGCTCCTCCAGAGTCTCGGAGCACCAGGTCCAGGTAAAACAGAGACCAGGCTCAGTCGATTTCCGTCACGTGTGAAATCCGTCACAGCGGTGAGGACAAATGTTGCGCTGCCACAGCTGTCGTCCCTGCAGGTTTTTGGCTGGATTTCCACCTGGCAGGCCGACACCACCACATTGGGGACCTCATGCCTCAGGCTCTCTGTGGATGTCAACACCGTGTTAGCATTAGCAGATGGATGTCTACTGAACTGTAATCACAGCTTCTCAGCAGACTCTCATGTGATGATTTACAGGATCGTTGAAAATAACACAAAAACGAGTACCAAGGAGTATTTTATGTTTCATATGTATTATTTACTATCATTGTCATTGTGATCTCTGCTTTGGTGGTTATTTAAAACAGAGATCATCCAATTAAAACCATATTAAGGTTGACTGTAGGGGTATATTTGGTTCGGTGTGAACTGCAGAGACTTTTATTCACAGCCAGAATTTGGATTTTGAATCCTTTGCTTTCCCCAGCTTCGTTTTAGTTGATGTAAAAACAGTTTTCTAGCAGACCTGACCTGGATTGTGGACACTCAAAGCCAGAGGGACTCCACACTGGTGGCCAAGGTTGGAGCTAAAGCAGGGAATGGGGACTGTGCTGTGGACAGTCACTTCATGCTCCATGTTGTTCTCTGCTATGTGAAGAGAGTCTGGAGAAAACTGAGCAAAAGTAAAAAGTTTAGCTGCTGGAGAACAGTTGGTTTAATCATTAAGAACAAGGGAAAAGCTGAGTTTTACCTTTAATCCAGCGTAGAAACTTTCACTTTCCTTTGCAGAGGATCTGGTGTGGTTAGAGCTAACTTTGAAAATCGACACACTACATGAGAACTGCAAAGAAAACAAAAGATTTGTAGGTGAAATAGGACAAACGCTGAAAACTTGGTGCTGAAAAATTCCTCCAGGAAATGAAAACTGGATGTTTGGAAATCAGTGACAGTGAATGTTGGAAACAGGAAACTGACCATTAGGTCTAGTCAAAGCTGCTTTGAGGCGACTCCAGCTGGAAGATGTATGTGTAACGACCTGCTTCATCCTTTCAGCTCAGATTGAGTTTTACAAGTTGCCGTCTTTAAAGATTTAAAACAAGGCTAATGGTCTTGTCCTACAGAGCTGTCTGTTTATAATGCTTCAAATAAAATTGGTAGAAAAGGAAAAGTCAGAGCAACAGATGAAGGGAATCTGCAAAAAACCCCAACTAGATTTGCTTTTTTATTCTTTTACAGATTTTTCATTCTTCCCATTTTTCATTTAAATTCATTTTCTCATTTTCTTTCTCCTTGTTTCTTTTTAAAATATAATTTTACTCAATTTTCTTTTATATCCTTTTTTCATGTTTGCGTGAATTTGTTCTTTTTTCCCTCGCCCCTTTTTTCTTATGTGATCTAATTTCTGTACCTTTCTTTCCAAATCCTCTTGTTTTATCTCATTGTTTTTTCCTTTTCAGTTTTTTTGCTTTATTTACATTTTATTTCCTTATTTCTTTCATTTTTGCCTAACTTTTTTCTTTCATTCTAATTTTTTTCTTTCCTTCACTCTTTTTCTTTCACTTCATTTCTTCTGCTCTCTTTCACTCTTTCCTTCTTTTGTTCTTTTTTCCTTGTTTCTCTTTTCTTTCACTCATTTTGCTCTTCCTTTTGCTGTTTTCTTTTTTCCTTTGCTCTTTCATTCATTGTTTTGCTCTTTTTTTGCTCTCAATTTCTTTTGCTCTTATTTCTTTAAATCTTCTTGCTCTTTCTTTTGCTCTCTTTCACTCCTTTTGCTGCTTTTTTTCTATTCTTTTTTGTTTTATATTATTTTGCTTTTCTTTTCTCTTGTATATTCACTTCACTAATGGCGACATGGTTCTGCTGATCTCAAACAAATCCTGTAGGGTTTTTTTTCTCATGTCTTGTTAAGCAACATCAGCAACAAAATCGCAGATTATAACGTTCTACCAGAAAAAAACCCATCAGGCCATAAAATCCCTCTCCTCCGTCGGTTTGGACTCCTGGTTCCTGGTGTCCGTGTTTCCCTCGCTGGTGCTTCTGGATTCACTCACTGGAAGCTGTAAATATTTCAGGTGTCTTCATTTCCTGTTCCTTCAGCCATTTTTACTCCATATCCAGTTTTACTACTCTGCTTGTTCGATGTTTTCTAAAGTTCGTCCACCTCCAGAGGTGTTCTGCACTATCTGTGTGTTTCAAAGAGCTTCCCTGGAATCCACTGTGAATGAAACCCATGTGGATCAAGGCTTTCCCAACCTGCTTTTCATTTAACTTCCCCTCCTTACACTTGCTCTCTCCTAACTCAAAGTGAGAGACATTCCCTGCTTGCTTTTTTTCTGAGACTGGTCAAAAAATATTAAAGTAAGTCAGTGTGATCCATATCTCATGCTGAAGCCTTCCACATGTGCTCCCCTACCTCCAGTAATCCCAGTACAATCTGTTGGGAATTACCGTCTCTCCCAGCCTGAAGTGGACGCCATCCATCTCCACCAGAGAGAAGGGCTTCAGCGTTGATTCCTGCCTGATCTCGGCCTTCATCTTGTGGCCGATGTGTCGGGCCCAAACCACTTGGAAGCCCAGTATCTGGCTCCAGGGCGGCGGGACGAAGGAGCACCGGAGGTGGACGCTGTGTCCGATGGGCTCTGGGGTGATCACTGGCCGGGAAGGCAAAGACGGAACCAAAACTGAGGACAGATGTACACATTTTAGGATATTTTGAAGAAATATAAATGGTTTCCTTTAATTTCCCTTAAGTCCTACCTTTGCATTGTCCGTTAACTTCCACTTCTCCTGGTAAACAGACTCTGGATCCTGATTCTGGAGCAACTGAAACATGAGGTTAGCCAGATATGTTATCACCATAGTCAAAGGAGACATATTATGCAAAATTCAGAGTTTGCACACTTTTGAACTTGCATTTCGGTTTCAACTGCTTTTAAAAAAGTCCAAGCTCTTAAAACACACACACACACACAGATACGCACACGCACACACACACACAAACGCGCGTGCGCACACACAATGGCGTTTTTTGGCAATAAGCTAATGTTTTTTGAATGTTACCTAGCAACCCCAGCCCAGGCCAGCCCGTTACCGAGCAACCCAAGCTTAGTTGCAGCTGATTTTACTGCTGTACAATGGCTACTGGAAAATACAAGTATTTTGTTGTTGACTTACCATTCAGAAACCATTTGCTGCATTCTTACTGTGTGAGCAGGAGGCTCTACTAATGTTTTTTAAAGATGAAGGATCGTATAATTGCAGCCATTTTCACGTGTGAGTGTAAGCATTGAGTTTTGAGTGCGCGACCAGCAGCAGCTTATTTGGATTTAAAGTGACAGAGGCCCTAAAGCAGCTCATTCTGATAGAAGGCAGAACTGACCAGACTAAAATCTCATTATCTAAAAATAATTTTGTGCAAGAAAATGTGGACCTACCCTAACCAGTTCAAAGAAGCATGATAGGTCATCTTTAAGAAAACAGAAACCTCCTGGTGTTCACCTTTAGCGCAGTATCCCATGCAGCCCTGCGTCGGCTGCAGGTAGTAGACCAGGAAGTCGCCGCAGTTCCTCACCGTGATGGGGATGCGGAAAAGGCAGCAGTCTTTGGCGCTGCCGTGGAAGAACTGCCATGTGGCGCAGGCAGAGAGCTGGCGGACTTGGCCGGGTCGCGGCAGAGAGGTGTCCTTCAGCGACAGCCAGATTGGAGCCTGGGTGCCACAGTGGTTCATCTGCAGGTGGAGAATCGAGAACCAGTCGTTATCTAAAAGAGGAGTTTGTTATTCCCTGCAGCTGGGCTGAAGGTGCTTATTAAACCAGTCTGCTGATTTTAATAAGCACCATGAGAAAGTTCATTTGATGGAACAAGCCCCCCTTCTACAGTGAAGTTGGACTTTGACAAGACTTGTGCAAAAGCCCTTCATTGTTACACTAGACTGAGGTGAAATAATATTTTATCCCACAATGGTTTAATTGAGCACAAATGACTGTCAAATGGTTTATTTTAGAAAATATTGACACATAACAAAGCATTTATTTCACTGAATATTCCTACTATGTTAATTTATAGCTTGGTAAACTTTTAAAATGTGTTCTTGATTTTCTTCCTAATGCATGTTGGTAGATTTCTGCTTCCATACTTTGCACCTGGGTTGAAACCTGGGTTGGTGTATCACTTTAGCTTTAAGTTCTGCTAAATATTGTCTTGGTGTAGCATTTAGCAATAGTTTTTGATAAATGTCATGTTGATGTAGCACCTTAGCGTTAGCTTCAGCTAAATATCATGTTGGTGAAGCGCTTTAGCATTAAGTTCTGCTAAATATTGTGTTGGTATGGTGCTTCAACATTAGCTCTTAATAAAAACTATGTTGGTGTAGCGCTTTAGCTTTTGATAAATACGATATTTTCATAATGTTTTAGTATTAGCAGAAATAATGTTTATGATTAGTTCTTTAGGCTTATCACAGCTAACTCTTTAGTTAGTGGTGCCCACCTCTGTCGGTATGACTGGAAAAACAATCTAACTTCAGTCTGTTTACAGTTTAGAAACGGAAATATACAACACTTATGAGTTTACACATCTTAAAGCCCACTGTTGGACTCATCAGCATTGCCTTCTATTCTCCAACCTCAATGCAGCTGGTTGGCATCTCTGCCGGCTTGTTGTTGATCCGGAATCGGTACCAGCCGGCCAACAGTGAATGGTCACAGATCAGGTCCTGGATGGCCGTGTTCTGGATCTCTGTGGAGTCGAAGTCGACGCTGCGGTAGGGGCTGCGTAAGATCCGATGTCCTCCAGGGTAACACTCTGGAGCTGTGAAGAAGGATGACGAACTGCTGTAAACTTTCTCATGACTGAGTTTGCTTTTCTACTTTGAGTCAGTGTCATTCCACCTAAAATCCCTTCCTTGAGCCTTGCAGACTCCAGTCTGAGACCATAATTAGGTCAGGTCTTTATCTACAGCTGCTTTCTGCAGAACGGACCTTTTGGTGGAAGACAAAACAAAACCAGCCCGTGGGAATCAGCACATGGATTTGCAACTCTCTGGTTTTATTGAGACTTTTATTCTGTCTCGTCTGTGACTTCATCTGGCTTGTTTTCTTACACGATTGAACATCTGGTCTCTAAATGTCAGTTAAATTAAATCCTGCTGAGAAAGTTGGGAAAAGCCAGCATGTGAAGAAACTCAATGTGACCGGATGCATTTCTTCAAAGTATTGCAGATATGTTTCATATTTACTTCCAAATATCAGAGGAATTGCAAGTTTTACATAATAAAATGCAGGTTTAGAAAACATTTTTGGCTTTTAAATCAGTGGATTTTAGCTAAATGTAGTTTTTATTATTGAAGGCTATGGGTTAGCCTTCAATAATAAAAAATAAATGAATTCTAATACATTAAGTACTTCATGTCCCTTATTTATCTTCACTTAAACACTGGGGCCGAGTATTAGGATCGGGCTAAGATTTTTTTTCTTCTACATTTCAGGATTTGTCATTACGAGAAAAAAGTTGTACAACAAAATGAACATAATAGAAAAGAGAACAAATAAATAGTTATGTAGTCCACTTCCTGGTTTTGGAGCAATCTCTGCTCCGCTTGGCATTCACATATGCATTCAAACTGCACCAAAGTTCACTTCAACCGAACAAAGACCGAGACTTTTAGGCAGACCAGAGTTGGATTACGCATTCACACCTCCACAAAGGAACCAGATTTTTCTAGACAAATGGACTGGAGTCGGTTAAAGCAGATCAAACAGGGTTTGTGGGAACGCACCCTTAGTATTTCTGTTGTGTTGTACACTCAAAAAAATGGTTCATTACAATTTCAGGCACCCAGAAGAGACGGTCCAATATGGACTGCATTTGGTCCACATGCACAATAGAGATGGTTTCAAATTACAAACAGCTGGTGGGTTTAAAACAGGCAAGAGAGGAAAAGTTATCCAATTAGGAGAGGAGTGATTCATTTCTTAACTTTTGAGGAATTTGAAGATGTATTTAGGTGCATTAGGCTGCTTCATAAACATCATGTTGTGTGTTTGCTTGAGGTAGTTTTTTTCCTGGGAAGCACATAACTGCAAAGGTTTCTAGTGAAAATATCTCGGTACAATAAATTCAGTAGTTAAAGGAAAACGGAGACAGGATTGCTGATTTTATTAACAGGAAGGACCTTTTCACCTCAGGTGATCTCAGTTCCCAGGAATAACATTCCTCGCCTGGATTGCCTCAGGAAAGGACGCTCAGTCCAACGGGGGATGACTAACACGGCATTAAGGTGAAGACAAACCTGCAAATGTTGTGCATTTGTTGTCAAAGCAGCGATCTTTGCTCTGGAGCTGAAACAGACCGAGTGGACTTTGCTTCCTCTGAACAAACATTCAGGACGTCTCGAACAGTTACAGCCGATCCTGCTGTTGACAGCTTCCTAAAAGAAAATGCTCTTGTTTACATTGTCGCCTGTTTGAGCGCACGACCTGTCTGGAAGCTCCTCTGAAGAGGCGCGAGGTCAGAGGTCATCCAAACAGCCTCGGCTTCAGGGAGGATGATGGTCGACCAGACTGCAGCGGCGGGCTAAACCCCTGGATTAGTACGTTTACAGAACTGATGAATAGGTGGAGAGGAACAGGATTAGAGCTGACAGGAAAAAACAGTAAACTTTGTTGGACCATCTTGAGATCAGCTGATATATAAATTAGTTTATTTTTATTATGAAAGAATCAAAGCAACACTCCAGGTGTGTTTTAATGAGGGAATGACATGTTGCAAAACTCCAAAAGTTAATTTTACACAAAATGCAAGAAAGAAATTAAAGCATAAAATGCAAGAATAAGTGAATATTTGCCCTCCTTTATTTGCCTGCTTTATACCTGCGCCATTCTGTTTCAGCTTCTTCTTCTGCTGTGGTTTGTATTAAATCACAACACAATCTAAACCACCTTCTTTCAGTTTGTCACAGTAAATGGGATCATAAATCTAAGGGATTTGAACTAAAGCTGAACAGATTGCATGAATGAACCGACTGTTTTCAAATAAACCTCCCAGATCCTTTCCAAAGAAAACATATTGGAACAAGAAAGTGGAAATCTATTGACCCAAAACATTTCTCTTTGACTACATTCACACAACAGTTCTTGATTCTCACTTATGATTTTGAAGAGCTGCATTGTTCTTTGCGTGGTTGTTGATATGGAGCTGATAGTATGGTCACAAAATCAGAAAAAGGCAAAGAAAGCTAAAAAAAAAAAAAGAAAGTGTTGGCATTGCTAGCTTCAGCCATTGTTTATGTCCTGATTTACATCTGGCTTCTTCTGGTGCAGATTTATGACGCATGAAATATCATATAAAATGTGACGAGCATTCTGACTGCAAGTGGCACAAATCAGATTGTTTGAAAAAGTCAGATATATGTTGCATTTACAGTGTCAACGTAGCTTTGTAAAAGGTGAAATCCTTTTTTATGTGCAATTTTATTCTATATCAGTCAGTCTTAATCTGTGTTGTGCAGGTAAAATAATACAATTCAAGGTAAAATACTTGAAGAAAAAAATAAAATATCTGTTGTTGGTGAACTCCAAAGCATCAAAATGAACTCAAATGGAGATGTAAACACCAAGTGGCCTGGAGACCACTACAAAAGCAGGAAGTGGACTACAGTGCATGGCATTCTGGGTAAAACCAACCAAAACAAGCATGCTAGTAAAGTGCTAACAGGAGAAATGGCTCGTGGTCTTTTACGAAAAACAAATAACTATTCAAATCTGTTGCAACTCAATTTTTGTTTGCATTTGATGAAGAAAGTTGTGCTCAGAAGTTTTAATGTTTCCCTCAGTGATTTGTGGTGCAGCGCCCCCACAGGCGAGGAGGGGAACAAGTTGCTCAAAGGATTTGGTTGGTTTGACTGAATGCACTGAATGCAGTGAGAAAGAGAACCAATGGAGCTGGAATTGGAATAACTGAGAGTCTACTGGACTATCAGTAAAGCATTTACATTTTTATTTGACAAGCTGCTGGTGAGCTAATGAGTCCTAAATATCCGGCGACAGTCTTGCTTGTCTGAGCTTCATAGACAGTTATTGTTATCCTGCTGTGCTCTCTACATGTTTGGTGTTGTTGCCCCCTCAGTGTCTCATTTTATGACCCCAGGACCCTCTAAAGTGTCCTGTAATCAGCTTTGATCTGCTCTGAGATGCCCTGCAGACCCAGATTTTTAACCTTTGGACAGCAGCTCAATGGCATGCCTGTTCTGCTCCTAATTCTCTCTGCCATCAGGTTCTGGATCAGATCTGTGAGGCTGCATGCATGCATCAATTCCTTCTGCCGGACCTACCGTGTTGCGCCAGCGCTCCTAGTTGCAGAGCCCAGAGCAGCGCGATGCGTAAACATCCCAGAACCGCAGCAAAGGCGCAACAATCCATGTGTGCAGTGCAAACAGCTGGATCAGTCTCTCTGGCCCATTGGAAGCAGAGGGGGAGAGGTTGCAAAAATGGCACAAAATTCTCTGTTAATTAGAGGATAAGAGACTAAACTCTGCGTCTGGCTCTCTGGAGACCGGCTGGGAGATGAAGGAGAAGGAGGAGGAGGAAGAGGAGGCAGGACAGCGCTTATTGCTGGAGGAGGGTCTTTGGAGATTCTCTGAGTCGTTCTCCTCCCATGTTCAGTTTGTGTAAACATGAGGCTCTCGCTGCGTGTCCAGCTGCACAGAATAAACCTCCCATAATATTCACACCCCTTAAAACTTTCCATCATATTATGATATTTAATTGGCCAGATTTTATATGAAAGGGCAACAAAGTAATGCATAATGTATTTGCGGACAAAGATGCAAGAGTGAGGGTGAAAATATTCTTTTTATTTAAAAACTCTAGAAATTTTCCTTTGGTTCAGCTGCTTTTGATTTTCTATAAAGACAAAAAGAGAGTTAAATACCCTAAATCCCTGCATCCCCAAAAGAACTAAATCCCAAAAGAATTAACAGAAAGCTGGACCTGGTGAGCTGATAAAAAAGAACAAAAGGTACAGCAGCGGGCCAACCCTATACAGAAAAAGAACCTACTGCAAAAGAAATAGACAAAAATATCATGTGAATAAGAACATGGTGTCCAGTAGATTACACCACAAAAACACAAACATTACCAAGTCATTTTGTCTGGTTTCTAGTGGAAATATCTTAATACGGTTGAAATAAGAAAATCTAACTCATAACTAACATTTCAGGAGGTTATATGAGCTTGTAAGTCTTTTTTTTTTTTAAATGATCTCAGTATTAAATAATTGACCCAAAACAAGTTCCTATATCTTACTGAAAAGTTACTTAGAAGTTTGTTCAGTCTTATTTTAAGTTTACTGAGATATTTATAGAATCTACATTAAAACATTTAGTAACAAGCCAGGGGTCTGCAAACTTCACAACCAAAAGAGTCACTTTTTAGTCTGTCCACTCAACTTTTAAAGAAACAAATCTTATCATTTTAGATAAATATTAACTCAAATGTGTTGTAGAACTAACTTTTTACCTCTTTACTGATTTAATTGGCTCTTTGGACCTTCCTCAAAGGTTCTTAACTTTATTCTATGTAAATTTAGAAGAAAAGCTGTTTCTTTTTTGTTTTCAGCCAAACGCAGGTTCACTTTCCATCCACATATTTGGCAAAATTTGATGTTTATTTTAAATTCTAAAGAATAAATACAATGATGGTCCTTTAAAAATGAGACAAAATTTCAAATAGTACGTATTTATCAGAAAGTACAATGTGTCTTTTTTTCAAAAAGATGTCTGACTAAACTACAGGAACGGTTCTGGTGTCAAACTAAGAAAAGCCAAAATATTTGACTGTTTCTCATCCAGTCCGGATCGGTCCTTTCTGCCTGGCTGCCGAAAAATGCAAAAACATGAGGATAAAATGGAATTAGCTGTAGTTTAGTCCTAATTTCTTGTTCCTTTCTATGCGTTGGGTTTTACATTCAGTAAAACTCTTAAATAATAGGAAGTCATCTCATGTGATTGGAGGCAGTTTGTGACTGAGCCGATGTCCCTGCAGAAGGGTTGGGGGTGGGTTAGCCTCCTGACCGGGGTAAATATCAGGTGCTGGAGGCCACAGAGAGGAGAGAAAATGCATACCTTTCCACTAAATAAAAGACCTGAGTGCAGCAGCAGGTGTGCTGGACTCGCCGTTCCACCGAGATCGGAGAGAAACACGACCTGCAAGCTTCAAAAACAAGAAAATGGAATAATTCTGCTAATTTTAATGAAAAATAATTCACATTATGACAAACAGTTCCAGAATAACCCTTTACTTCTGTTTTTAAATGGTATAATTCGCATGTTTTATACAAATATATAAAATAAGCCAATAATTCAGATTTTTAAAGACATGCTACATTTATTAGCGCCTCACTTTACCAGCAAAAATCAGCTTGGAAACAGATTTTATCTATAAGTTTAATGTAATAATTTGTTAAATGTTAATTAGTGATAAAATGCAATGTGTCGAAGCATCTAAAGCTTTGATTTGAAAATTCTCACATTGATAAAGTTTTATCAGGAACAAACTGCTGACTCAGCATAATAAAATGCATCCTTAAACATCATAAATGATTTACAGAAAAATGCAAATATATATATATATATATATATATATATATATATATATATATATATATATAGTCAATAATCAAGGTTCTTTGGTTCCTTTCATAATTCCTTCATTAGATGTTTTAAATAGGACATGATGTGACGTTTATGCTGCAGTTTGCTTTTCTGGACTTTGTAACACATTTCCTGCAAAGAAAAGCTTCTTAGTGGACAAACAATTATAATTTAATTTCATTTTATTCTCTTGTCCCTTGGATCTTCTGAAGTTAGTAGAGGGAATGTTTTCTACCTCCTGGTTTGACTCTAGCGCCCAGAGAAACGTCCGTGAGGGGACGGAGCACGGCCTTGTTGCCTCCTGACTGCTTCCAGATGTCCCACATCCTCGTTTTACTGCAGGAACAACAAGAGCGAGCGGCATGTCAGCTGCTGGGGAGCCCGCAAACATCTTGCAGCCACATTGTTCCTTCAGTCTGAGTCACATCCAACACGTCCTCCTGCTTATGGAAGCAAAATAAGATGAATGCAGCAGGAGTTAGTTTGAGGCTCAAGCACACTTCAACCATTTTAGTTTTCAAACTTTGGAGTTAAAACAGTTTCAATTTCATTTATGACTCAGTGTCTTGTAATACTTGACATTCTACAACAAACCAAGACTAGAACTCACCCAAGACCAGACACAAAACAAGATAGGACACAAAGGACCAAAAAAGAAACAATACGAGACCGTAAGGAAAAGAAGACCCAAACCAAGACTTGAACCGATCCAAAACCTGACTCAAGATTAGAAGCAAGACCATCTCTGATGAAAATCAACCCTAACTCTAAGAAAAAAAAAGATGTTCATGTGAGATTCGCAAGCAAAAAACGTTGAGTTCAATCAAAAAGAACGAACTTCCAAAAAATCTGATATGCAAAAATAAAAGTTTCAAACAAAAAATAGTAATTTCAATTAAAAGAAAAAAAAAAGCTTTAAAAGCATTTGTTAATTCTTACAGTTTGATTGAGAAATTTGGGTTTTTTTGTTTGAAACATTTTTTTTTTCAAAATCAAAAAGTTTTGATCACATCTCTATTTTTTTGTTTGACTTTTTTTTTTTTTGATTGAATACTAATTTTTTTTTTTTCATTGAATAATTGTGAAACAAATTTAACTCCATAGAGATCTACGTCTGAAATGGAGCCGTGATCAGCAACAGACAGCTCGCGGACAAAATTAAAGGAAAACAAAAGAAAAACGAAAAATACGACATGTGTAAAAAATGAATGTTGGATGGTGTGACAAAGTTAAAGAACTGCGGATATTGACGGAGTTTGAAAAGTGTCGCTTATTCGGCGACGGTGGAAAAGTGTCGGTTAGCTACCCCAGCTAATCAACAGCTAAGCTAAGGTGACAGAAGGCTAACTTAGCTAACCAACAGCTAAGCTAGGTAGTAGGCTACCTTAGCTAACCAACTGCTAGCTGTTTTAATAGTTGGAATACGTGATAAAAAGATGACTAGGTTGGTTAGCTAAGATAACTACTTTAGTTAACCACCTGATAGCTGATACTTTCTTATAACGGTTACACAAGTCAGTTAAAAACCAATTGGAGTGTTTTGGAAAACGTTTAATGTTTAATTCATGTTACGTAATTTAAATGTAGTTTAAATGTGTTCGAAAGGTTAATTATATTAAAAATGGACTGCGTGACAATAAGATTTGACTAACCATTGTGTGGTGGTGGAAAAGTTTGAAAACTTACCTAGAAAATGCTTGAAAATGGCTTGATATTCAAACTTCACATTTTTGTAATATAATTGTAGTCTAATATTTGATTAAATTTGAAGTGTTATTTTCAGTTGAAACCAGATATTTTCATACACAAGATTTTTTTCTCACTGTCTGAAGTTAAATTAGACTGAACGTTAATGCCGGAAAAAAATTTTTTTCTTTGTGACTTTTTAATGTATATTGTGTTTAAGCATTTAATTTGAGCAGGAAGGTCATTTAACTTACGATTTTTAAAAATATATTTAATGACTATTTATTATTCCTAATAGCTTAATGACTTATTGATCGTCTTATATTTTATACATAAAATGATATATAAATTGGGGGACTTTTTTTTGTTAAATCAGGGTTTTGTTCTCAGTCTAGTCAGGTGTATAGGGTATTAAATAAACATATCAAAACATAACATTTAGTTATATTTTAGTTTACATTGCCTCTGTTGTAGAAAGTTAAGTGCTATAGCAAGACATTAATGAAAATAGTTATAAATGATATTGAAACTGTGGATTTTAGTTCATTTGTGTTTGAACTCCAAAGTTTAAACTTTTTTTTTCTTTTTTTTTTTTTTTGAGACCCTAGACGTGACGTTGAAGTTTTGATGTGATGGTGAGCATGTCCGATGGACGACACGCTGAAGATTCCTGCTGGTTGACTGGCCAGCTGCTTCAGGAAACTTCTGTGAACTCCTCTTTGAAATATCTGGATTTTCCAGCGAAGGAATTGCACAGAGACTCTTTCTTACCTTGGTGGTGCAGAGGTGAGTAGAGCAGTCTAAAATTGCACTCAAGTAAGAGTAGCATTACTTTAACATATTTTTACTCACATAAAAGTAGAAAGTATCCATCCAAGAAATGACTCAAGTAAGAGTAACAACATATTGGATAAAAGGATTACTCAAGTCCTGAGTTACTGACCAAAACATCAATCATTTGATGCTCTTTTTGCTTAGTGATTTTTGTTTCTTTATTGGCAAAATATGACTTAGGATATTATTTTAGGAAGGTGACAATTTGATAGATAATGTTTATAACAACTGAATGTAACATAGTTATTTATTTATGTTAAAACATAAAACTGCCCCTTTGAGATATTAGTGAAGACAATTTGAATGTCCTCTTCTGCCCTCTGGTGGAGAAGGGGTAAACCTTTTTTCCAAGGGAACTGTACTGGTCTTTATTAATTGCACATTTAAAGATTGATGAATAATGAGTTTATTAAATTAATTCTACCCAGATTAAAAAGAAAACTGGATGAAAATAATGCATCCAGCTTCATGAGTGCAGTTTGTGTTTGACTCTTTGTGCCTTAAGCTCCATAAAGACCAGCATTCCCAGTTTGTAAATGGGACCAAATCCCTGCTGTCTGGCTGAGATCCGGTGAAACTGCTGGCTGCTGCTATGATTGGCTCTTTATGAGGAAGTTCACCCTGTTGGCTTCAAATTTCACACTCAAAACTGAAACCACACGAAAGAGGAAGCAGCCTGTTTCATAAGTGTCAGTTGCAGGACTGAATGTGATCCAGGCATTTTGTAGAGGTGATTCGCTGTTATCTGGAGCTGGAGGTCAGCTCATCGATGCAATGATTAACCTGAGAGCGAGCACAGAGAGGGTAAAGAGCGTCTCCGAGGGTTCAGTCAGCCTCTGTCCTGCCAGCAGGAAGGAAACCCTCCGATAGCCCACCGATCCACAGTAAGTTACAACTTTCACTTCAAAGAGTTCAGACAGACGACTTTATTTGTGATGCAGCATTCAGGGACATAAGAGAAAAACTGACAACACAGAATCAGATAGAAGCAAAGAAGAAACAAGCAGCTTTTATACATTTATAAACTATTTACTTATCAGCATGTATATAGTTGTAATACTCCATAATCTGAGGTCAGATTTAATTGACATTGAACAGAACGAATGGAGCCTTTGTTCTTTACTTACTTATAATTCACTTATTTACTTACCAAGAACATGAACTGTTTCCAACAGTGGTACAGCACATGACTTAAACATTATTAATCTTTTTCACTGCAAACACAAAATCTTCTCATTCTTTCTAGTTTTAGTGCAAATAGTATTTCACTTGAAACAATTTAAAACCAGTTTACAAGTCATGTTTTATCTGCTAGAGGAACTGGGACTTTTTCTCCAATACTAAGGAATTATTGACTTAAAATAACCTCTGTTTTGCTGAAAAGTCACTTGTTAGTGTTATCTTAAGAAACTTGACCACAATTAGTTGGTAAGATTTAATTATTTTTGCAGTGACGTTGACATTTCTTAATGCATCAGGTCATGTGACCCTCTGCTTGTCTTGGTTAATCTTTTAGGGTTTTCTGCTCCCACACCAATGGACGACATTTTTGACCTGAGTCCCACAGCGGCGGTGAAACGAGTGTCCTCCTTGCTGGGCTGCAGTCCGACCTCAGAGAAAGTAGCCGATTACTTTGACGAACATGACAAACTGCGGCACCTCAGAGAAAACTTCCTGGTGCCCAAAATCGCAGATTTGCCCCCCAGTGAGTAGAAAATATTGCATTCAAGATCTGCTGACCTGAAGGTGGAATATAGTGATGATTCAGTTTCGCTCTCTGCAGCTGATCGCTCTCTGGTGGACGGGAGCCAAGAATGCATCTACCTGTGTGGAAACTCGTTGGGTCTGCAACCCAAAAATGCACGGAAATATCTGGAGGAGGAGCTGGACAACTGGGCTAAGATGTTAGTTAGTTTCATTATTAGCTTTGTTAGTAAAGTATTGTATTCACATTGTCTTGCTGTTCTTTAAACAGAGCTATTCATGGTCACACTGTCGGCTCGCGGCCTTGGGCGTGGGCGGAAAACAACATTGAAGACTCTATGGCGAATATTGTTGGTGAGTTCAGAAAAATTACAAAGAAAGTCCAAAAACACTGAAACAGATTAAGAAGAAATGAAACTCAGAACAGCAGTTTAAAGTGACAACCTTCAACAAAAAAGAAAGAGGCATTACTGGGAGGAAAAGCAAAGTGTTATCCATAATACAACCAGTGCATTTCTTTTTTTTATTACATGTCAAACAGTAAAAATGTTTGACACCAGTTTTGTGAGATTTGAAGAAGGTGAGGGAGGCAAATCTATGAATGTCAGGAAGTTTAGTAAAAAATAATCAGTTTTGGGTTTGGTTCAGAAAGTCCAATGAAAGAAACATGTTCAATTAATAAGTTTATTCATTCAATTTAACAAATTCCATCAACGTACAAACGCATTATCTGATAACAGTAACTCAACATGAGCGAAAAGGGAGCAGGGAGAAGAAAATCTTGTAAAAACATTTCCCTTTCTCAATAATTACAAACTATATTTTTTCTTTTTTTATGTTCCTTTTTCCAAAGTTCTTAAAGACACATTTAGGTTTAGTGTTAAAGTAAGGATGTTTGCATGTAGTTACAACAATGTGTTCTGGATAACCTCCAAAGAGTAACACTGATCTCAAAGCAAACTCAAGCTCTATCTTCTGTACATGAAGCTGTAAAGCATCAGGCAAGTTCTGTAGTTTTATATCTATAGTTTTGTTGGTTACATCTGTGCCTCCGGTCTGTTTTCATAGAGTCTGAAGGTCAGTGACCAGACAGAACCTGAACTCACTGACCAACCAGATCCATTTAAACCAATAAATTTACCCAAACTTCTCAGGATCTCTACATTAGTTTTCATTTGTTTTCTAAATGTTTACAGCTTTTTCTCATCATTATGTTTCCTGAATGCATTGACAGCACCTTGATTATCTAAGCTTTTACCAACTTGAACTAATAAGAACGTTTTGTTTTATGCCAGGAGCTAAAAGTGGGGAGGTCGCGCTGATGAACGGCCTGACGGTTAATCTGCATCTCCTAATGGTAACGCCGTGGAGAAATGTATCTAAAGTAAAGTGTTAAGTGGAAAAGTTGAGTCATTTGATGGTGTCGCTCTGCAGCTGTCCTTCTACAAACCAACTCCAACTAGACACAAAATCCTTCTGGAGAGCAAAGCCTTCCCTTCAGATCATGTGAGTATGTCTGTAACCCCCCTTTGTTAGTTTCTGCTCCATTACATTAAAAAAATAAATACGATAAAAAAAATAAAAAAAACTACAGTAATGAACAGTTGACAGCTGGAAACACAGTGGTGTCCAAATTGCCCAAGTTGAAATTCTTCAGTGACCAAAATGAGTTTTTCTCTCTGATCAAAAACACAAAATTAATATGAATTTTTTCTACTTTACCTACAAACAACAAATTAAACATTTAATATTAGTATGGCATTTTGCGTTAAGGTTTGTTGGTATTTAACCTTATCTGAATATTGTTTTCTTTTTTGTTGGTCTATAAAATGTTTTAGTTTGTTTCCAGCAACAGAAATGATCATTTTCTTTTAAAACCTGGATATGTGTGCCCAAGTATGTTTGAATAAAAAGTTGCTGGATGTTTATGGCATGAATTTCTGAGTATTTTTCTTGGTAATTTTTTAAAATTAGATCTTCTAGAAAAGTAAACATTTCTGAGAATACTGTAATCTCAAAATTTCTGAGATTTTTTCTTGCAAATGTTTTAGTTTTAGTGCTAAGAAATGTAATAATCTAAAAATCAGAATAAATTTTTTTGCAGAAATGTTTTCCTTTTTTCTATCTATAATGGCCGTAACACGCCATCGTAGTGCTTTTTAAGCTGGACTTTCAGACAGTTCATTGTGAATTTTTTCTTCTGTTCTCAGTACGCCATCGAGTCTCAGATCCGCCTGCGAGGATTTTCCCCTGAGAGCAGCATGCTGATGCTGTCTCCCAGACCAGTGCGTCCACAACACCTCTCACCAGAATCTGATCAATGTAGTCATGATTTCTCACAAATGTAATCTCTCTCTTCAGGGTGAAGACACCCTGAGAACTGAGGACATCCTGGACGTCATCGAGAAAGAAGGCGACGTCATCGCCATGGTGATGTTGCCCGGGGTTCAGTACTACACTGGTCAACTGTTTGACATGCACGCCATCACCAAGGCTGGCCACAAAAAGGTAGCAGGGAACCTTTTTGTTTTTTTTTTAAATAGTTCAGATCCATTTTCCTTTTGATTCCCCATCATATTTCAGTTGGATATTAGAGATGTTAAATGAAAAGCTAACTGACCTCCGACATGTTTTTGTGCATCATCAGGGCTGTTTTGTTGGATTTGACTGCGCCCATGCAGTGGGAAACGCAGATCTGAAGCTGCATGACTGGGATGTTGACTTTGCCTGCTGGTGCTCCTATAAGGTCTGCTGAAGAGAGCCTGAATCAGACAGAAATAAAAGAAAGGAAATTGATGATGATGATGATGATTGTGTTTTGGCTCTATAGTATCTGAATTCCGGTGCTGGCGGCCTCGCCGGGGCGTTCATTCACGAAAAACATAAAGACACCATCAAACCAGCGTGAGTAGCACAACAACTCTTTAAAATGAACAAATAAATTATTTTTAATTCATATGGGTAGCATTTAGGTTTTAAACAACGAAAGTTTAAACTACAAATTATGTTTAAGCTGCAAACACAGGGTTATTATCCCATTGGCCAATTAGAATAAAGGGGGCCTGTCACTTTAATTGTTTAATTTGTGTCTCCTTCAGACTGTTAGGGTGGTGGGGTCATGACCTGGCAACTCGCTTTAGGATGACCAACGGTAAACCTTTCACTTTATCTAAACACAGTTTATCTAAAATGTGTCTTTTTGCTTCCCCCTTGTGGCCATTTTTGGTATTACATGAGCAGTGCTGATGAATGCGACAGGAAAATCCTATTTCATTCAATAAAAATTAGCATCCTGTCTGAAAAATACTTCTACAGAAACTGTTTATGACATAATTAGGGCCACTGGAGAAAAAACTATCTTGACTTTAAACTCAAAATTCTGATTTTTTTTCCCTCATAATTATTAATTTTTCTCAAAATTTTGACTTTTTTTTCTCAGATTTTGCTTTAATCTCAGAATTCTAAGCCCCTCTTAATCCCATGTTTTTTTTAGGTTAAACTCAGAATACTTATCTTCTTTTTCAGTGGTCTAATCCTCTTCCATCAGTCTTGTGTTTCATGTATGTTTTCTGTTCCCAGTGATGGAGCTGCAGCCCGGAGTGAGCGGCTTCAGACTCTCAAATCAACCCATTCTTCTCGTCTGCCCTCTACAGGCCAGCTTAGAAGTATTGCACTTTACAGGACTTATTTCATAGATCTATGTTTTGAGTAAAAACTAGTTGTTTTTAAAGTTGCCTATAAAATGTTCCAGGTGTTTAACATGGCGAGCATGCAGTCGCTGCGGAGGAAGTCTGTACTCCTGACCGGGTACCTGGAGTACCTGATAAAGGAGTATTACACAGAGGACCCGGCCCAGCCTCATAAAGCCTATGTCCGAATCCTCACGCCCTCTGACCCCCAGCAGAGAGGCTGCCAGCTGTCGCTCTCTTTCTCCATCCCGATCCGGAGAGTCTTCCAGGAGCTGGAGAAGAGAGGAGTGGCTGTAAGCACCTCGCCTGGAAGCTATTTGCTTGGTTTTACCTCAGAGTGGCCATCTTTCTATTATTCCTATCTCAGTTTCATACAGTAGGGGTTCCTGCTCT